TAAAATCTTTAATTATTACCTGAGTTATACTTCTTAACCCATATGAAATACAAAGTTTTAATGAACTTTTAAATTCCTGTACATCTGAAGTTAATCTAAAAGTATATCAAATTAAAATGTCATATATTATCAGAATATTTACAAATTTTCTAACATAAAAAATATAGTTCATTATATTATACGTAGCATATAATAATAATTTTATTAAACTTTTTGGTTACAAACTCCTAGGTTGGGAGTAAATATAATAATTTGCTTTTAAAGAACTCCAAGCTAGGTCATTACAAAATAATAATCTTACATCATTAATATTACTGCTAACAAACTTCAATTGTTTATTCTTACAATGGGAATTAATCACCAGACAATTAAATAATAAATGAGACAAGGAAAACTTTCCTAGGTTATAATAAATACATATTTCATCTGAACATAATTTAAATATGGATCTTTTCCAAATGAATTTAAATTTATTTAGTCTTAATTGGCAAATTCATTTCTTAAGATGGAAATTTGTCTTTTTATAACAAACAAAAAATATAACAGAATTCAATAATTGTCTATACCAGCCATTCTTGACATGGACCATAGCATCTGCCTGGGAGCCATGGAGAACTGAATAGGGATTCATGGATGAGACAAATGAAGAGAAGATCATAGACAATTAAAAGTGGGATTCATGTACAATTTTACTTTTTGATTAAAATCTTTTGTGCTACGCCTTTTATAACTGGTGTGTATATATGTTAGGCTCAAAGACCAAAACACTCATTGAGTGAAAAAAACAACCACAATGCATTGTGGTCAATTTAAATCATCCACAACATGAAATTTATGTTGTAGCACTTGTAAAAACAGCCACAACATGTGGCTTACTCAAAATGACCACAAAGCAAAATTCGCATTGTGGCTTTTATGATATTTGACCACTACATGTGGTGATTCAGAAAAGCCATAATGCATTCTGAACATTAGCTGATGCAACCATGACACGATGGACAGGTTGAAATTGGTTCAAATGTTTTAGTTAGGGTGCCTGATGTTGATAGGGGACGTGCAGCTCCCAGAAATGTTTTAGCTGTTGTTATGAGCATTAATCCATCAGGTCTCTATAAGTTAGGAACAAGGAAGGTCTTCTTGATCAATTTTATGCTCGTAATGAATTTACAATTTCTGAGAGTAACTTTATTAACATTCAGGATGTACCTTCAACTTCATTAACACTTTGCTCAGCATCCATCTTAACATCTGGAAGTAAGCAAGGGTTTATAATGTCTCACTGTAAAAGATACTGTATTGATAAAAAATGCAAATTTTACTCAAAGAACATAAAATGCAACTCAAAATATCATGGTAATAGTTCTTGTAAAGATAAATAACTCTACAACATTCTTGATTTTCATAAAAAAAGACTGATTTATTAATAAAAGTTCCTAACAAAGTAATTATTTTTAGTAAATTAGTTGTTAGAAAATGTTGACATCTCAAGCACTGCACAGATTTTCAAGAATGATTAGATGCTAAAAAATAATCAAGTTACATTTCTGTATGTGGTGAATAATTTTGTTACCTACTTATATAAGATGATTGAAGATAAATAAATCATAATAAAAAAAACAAGTTTTATTTTCTTATTATTAGTTAACATCCAGAACTTGTGGTGGCTTTTAACTATAATAAATCCATCACACAATGGTTTTTAACTTTAGCAGCTGATTTTTATGTCATCGTATAGAGTACATCAAGCACCTACTAGTACATGTAATTTGACCTTTAGCACTTTTAAGCAAAACAAGAAAACACAAATGTGTATTTTTCTCCATAAAAAATTTTTATCCTATTCATATATTTCCTCTACCACTTCATTTGAATGAGAGCTGATAGGCATATATACTTGAATGAATACCAGATCTTTTGGTTCTACTTGAATTCTGACCATTATGATTTTGTCATTTATGTAATCAACTTTAATTACCCAGGATGCAAATATACTTTTCAATGCTATCCCCATTCCACTCATTGCTTTCCTTCCACCTGAAAAGTAAAGCTTAATATCATCACTCACTAATTCTCTAGAGCAGGGGTGGCCAAAATGTGGCGCATTGGACAATTACAATGGCGCTTTAGCTAGTTCTGAGCAAAATTGCCAGATTTGGCTTTTTTGTGATTAAGAATATTATATAGAAAAATTAATTTTTTATAGTCTGTCTTGGCAAGTTCATTTGTTGCACAATTCGTTACAGTCTATTTTACAGATAAAATGAGTGTTCTCCACATAGTAAATTACAGTGTATGCATGTATTGTGAGTCTCGCGATCTTTATTTCCGATCAGTTTACAGGCATGTCTCTCCTAAGCGAAGCTGATTTATTCTTATCTCTATTTATCAACCCCTAACATTGAACGTAAGACTGTATAAAAAGTGTTCGAGTTATATGGCACATCTGAACTCGTCTGTCAAAAAATTGGCGCATGGTATGCAAAAGGTTGGCCACCCCTGCTCTAGAGTCTTCCCATCTTACTTCACTTAGTCCTACTACTACAGTTTATTTATTTTTATCTCATTCTTCAGATTTTCCAGCTTTCCAGCCTTCCTTAAGGTCCTCATGTTCCAAGTTCCAATTCCCAAGAGTCTCTTTGGGGAGTTTTGCAGGCTGACAGTCTGGGGAACCCCCTTCTTCCCTCTCCTGGCCAAAGTGTTGCAGTTGGAAATCGTTGCAACCCTAATGTTGTTCTTGTCTCTTTTTCTACTTGTGGTCATCTTACTAGGGAGATTGCTATATTAGTAGTAAAGCATAGTGGTTTCCTCATTGCTTTCTACGCTTCCACCTCGTGTTAAATTGCAACAAGTTAAAATTTTTACTTTTTTTTAATTAAAATTTACAAAATTTTATAAATCTGCTGGATCATTCAAAAAGTAGCTTTAAGAAGATTGTCAACTTTAATGATCATTTGTAGTCATTAATCATAGTAAATATTCTTGTTTACTTATAAAGATGAATTTAGAATAATTATAGACTTGATTCGATGCAATCTTTAAAAAATGAATACCTTTTCATCATTTAAATCCAATTCTACAATTTAAAAGATACACACAAACAATCTCCAATATTCAAACTCCAGTGTTCGATATATACAGGGTGCAAAGTGCCAAAATTGCCACTTGGCGATATTTTTATTAAGGTGGCTATGAAAATATAATACTGGTGATTGCAAGTGGTGATCCTAGTCTGCTTGTTTCAACATTCAGCATGAAATTGAATCACAAATCACACTTCAAGAAAAACAGCAAAATATCAAGCTTTCATGCAATGGGAGTTCCGTGCATCACACACATAGCAATTTAATGACATCACACAGTAAATTCAGAAAGAAAAATAGGAAGTGACATCAAGAACTGAAGGTAGTTTTGTGCAATGCCGCCTAGCATTTCCAGATTGGGATTTTTTTTATTGACCAACAGAAATTTTGGGATGACTTTTTTCATTTTAATCTTTTTTCAGTAGACTAAATCAAAAATTTTGACATGACAGAACCTGTAAAATATTGTTTAAACCTTGTGATTAAATGTGTTGTTCAGAATTATTCATTAAAAAATTATTCAAAAATGGTTCCTATTGCTAGCGAGGGAAGGATCAGACATTCAAATCTCTGATTTAAACAAAACTTGGTGAGCATGTAGCCCTAAACACAAAGAACTCATTGTCCAAATAACAAGACCCACTTCTCAAGCATTTTTAAAACTTGGGCCTCTGAAAATTTAGTGTTTAGCTTATAAGTCTTTAGAAGTTTCATATCCAAGAGGGGATGATAGCCAAGTGAATAAGACACTAAGCACTAGAGCTAGATGATGTAGGTTCAGAGATTTAGTTTGGTTTAGTTAATTTTCTATGTAATTTTATTATTTTACCATGTCATTAGCATCATTATTATTATTATTATTCCTCACATTTAAACCTTATAAAACAAGAGATTAAAACTTGTGATGTCATTTACTGTTTAGCGAAAACAAGCCCCTATAGATTTAACTCTCTTACGTCATTAAATAAAACTTTTATTTCTTCAAATTTATTTTCACATATTTTACACACTATGCCCTCACAAGCAAATAAGCTTCAGACATTACTAGACAAAAAGACAAGTGATATAAAAATAGGGTAGCAAGTTGCAGTGTTTTAGTTTTTTAATTGTTAATATTATGAATATTAATGTTATTAATTTTCTCATGTACTCATGTTTGTTACACTTCAAATTTCACAATACCACCATATCTAAAAATAAAGAAAATTTTATTTAATAACTTAAGAGTTAAATCTAGAGGCTTGTTTTCTGTAAACAGCAAATGATGACACAATTTTTAATCTCTTGTTTCATAAACTTAAATTCAAGGAATAATAATAATTATGCTAATGATGTGGTAAAATAAGTTAAACATAAAATTAGCTAAAACAAACCAAATCTCCGAACCTACATCATCTAGTCTAGTGCTTAGTGTCTTATTCACTTAGCTTTCGCCATTCTTGGTTATGAAACTTCCAAAGACTTATAAGCTAAACACTAAATTTTCAGATGACCATTTTTTGGAAATGCTCGAAAAGTGGGTTCTATTATTTAGATGAGGAGCCATTTGTGTTTAAGGCTACGTGCTCAACATGCTGCATTTGAATTGGATACCCAAACATCTAGTCCTCTCCTTGTAAATGAGTTTAAAATGTTACTTTTGCTTTCCAGACACCAAACTGATAAGGCTATAGGCACCTGCATTAATTAGTAAGTAAAACTGATGGTGATAAATAATTTGAAGTGGCAAAAAAATTAAAAACTCGCAAAATGCTGGTGATATTTTTAAATTTTCCAGAGTAATCCCTGTATATATATACTTCAGCTGTTAGGTCTTTAAGTATATGTAATATTTGAAATATAGTTTATTATAGTTTTGTTTAATTATTGTATAAACAAACTTATTAATTTTATAATTTTTTCTGAACTGACTAGATTAATGGCAACCAATAGAAACCTCTCTCATTCATTCAGTGTTCTAGAAAATTGGAGATAAATTTCAATTTTAACAGCTATTAACAAGTCCACATGAAAATATGATTCATAAATATTGTGAGGATGTGGGCTATATTTTTTTGTTTTTTTGGAGGTTGAAGCTAAACCTTTGCCCCATCAGTTATCTGCGTCACATTGATAATTGACCTTCCCAACTTTCAAAGACATTTCGAACGACTGCTAAAGTTCTCCCCTCACAACCAGGAATGATTCATTTACACGTTCGTTACGATTTACAAATAATCAGCCAATTAACAAGAGCCTTCACTTGTTACACGGTAGTGGGTAACCAAAAGGTCACCAGCAAGGGTTGACCAAACCGAACAAAACCCCCCCTTCTATTACTTTAGATGTGAACGAGGAGAAAACAAATCAAGATGACCATATAAGGCAACAATCATTACTAAGGTGCAAGACTAATTCTGACTTTAGTCACCTCTAGCAATTAATTCCGTTAGTTTAACAACTATTATCAAATTTATCAGAGGGAAGAAGTGACAATACTGAATAGAAGAAGTAATAAATCTACAGAAAGATTTGGATGTTTGACAACTAACATAAACAACCCCAGGCAAGTCAAAATGACATGGAATTGCATCAGAATGTTCCCCAATTTTCCTCCCCCTCTGGGGTGAGTATAAAAAGGGCTGGTCCCTTTTTATACTCAGTATGCAGTCCTCTGGGCAGACATCCACAGCTGATAGCATCCAGGGACATCTACAGCAGACACCAGACCCATACCACCACCATGTCCATCACCACCTCGCCATACCTGCCGTCTCTATCCCAAGACAACCAGATGACCACAATAGTCCCAACAACTTTGTATACCAGACTTAGAGGTATTATTAAGCCAATTTATTTATATACTTTCTCTCCGAGATGTCCCTCTTAGAGAGGTTTCTCTCGTCTCTTAGTTTAACTTCAAGAATAGAATGTAGACATTCCATTGGGAAGACGAATCATTGTCGTGAGCTAAAATAGAATTTCTGATTATTTCGGTTTATTCTGTTTTTGCTTTTGCCTTCGATATGTATAATTTTATAGTTGTTTATTAAATGTGTTATTTTTGATCAACCTGTGTACGTATTCAGAACCTGTCGACGTACTCACTGACCTCCCCACTCACATTTTTAGCCCTCCTAAAGCCATTCTCTGACAGAGCCGCCGGTAAGCGAGGTCACTCTGCTCCCTCGGTTCTCACAATATGTATTTGATTATATTTTTGTTAGAACTTATGTTAAATCTATAGAAAATACTATTTATGAGCATAAAATTAATGTTTTGTTAAATATGCCATTGAAAAGTCATAGGCTATTTTTAGTTCCTAATTTAACTACCATAGATTATTAGAGACTTTGTTTTTCAATATTTGTAAATTTCAAACAACTCTGTATACATATTACTAATGCTGGGTTATAGAGGGACTTATACATCAAATTACTACTAATATTAATGATTAAGTAAATGTATTAATTGATATTAGAAAAATAAACTAAACAAATTAAACTGATTAAAACAAATTGTAATATTATTACATAATATAAAATTTAATATTATATAACGTAAAAATATTAATTAAGCGTACCTGCTAAGAATTTCTCCAGTTTTGTGTGCATCAAAAAATGCTATATCTTGTTTGATAACAGAATTAAATAGCGATTTTTTTATATTATAAGCAATCCTTTCTCCACTATATGACAGCATCGATATATATAAAAAAGTGAAGAAACTCTATAAGTATATAAAATAAATTTATATATTAATTTTAAATAAATTAAATATAATTATATTGAAAATTTAATATATATTTATAAACAAATATTTAATATCAAATAAAAGAGAAATTAGTCAATACCTGTGCCAAGTATATATGTAATAATCTTAAACATGGGTTTTTTATCTGTTGAAAAAAATTTCCAATTTCAGTTTGTCCAGAGCAACTAACAAATCTTGATACAACATTTACAACATCTCCTAATAATACGGGTATTTGGATATTGTAATATGCAACAGCAATTGCACTCTGGAAAATTTTATACATAAAAATTTTAAAATCATTTAAGTTATTTAATTAAGTATGTATCTTAATTATTAAACTATTTAATTAAAAATATTTAATTATTTACTTCAAAATAAAATATTTTTTATTAAAACTTAAATTAAATTTACAAATATTAATTGAAACAATTCTGAATAAATTAAATACTCTTTCTAATAATTAATACAAAAATGAACTGAAGAAAAATTTTGATTTGTTAGTATTTATTAGTAAATTTATTTTATGAAATTTTTAAGCACAAATTTACATGGTATTTAAATCAAATTTTTAAAATATAAATTTATTGTATCAAGTCAGTCCATAAGTTCATGTGTATTTTTATCTACAAAAAAAGCAACAAAACATTTTAATTAAATTTTATTTCAATCTATAATGTATTCACCATTATTTTGTACAATTTCTTGCCATCTTGATGATAGCTTTTTAATCCCGTCTTCGTAAAATGATTTCGGTTTTGAATCAAAATATTCAGAAATAGCCTTTTTTACATTGTTCTCATCCTCAAAAGTTTTCCCTTTTAAAAAATTCTGCAAACTCCGAAAAAGATGATAATCACTGGGAGCAATATCTGGCAAATATGGTGGATGAGGTAAAATTTCCCAGTTGAAGCTTTTGAGTTGAGCAGTTGACGTTGTTGTCAGTTAGCTATTGACAGTTCATGTGGTATCCATTTTCCTAGCTTTGAAACTTTTCCGATTTGTTGTAGATGTCTATGAACAGTTCCATGGGATGAATTTAAACGTTCCGCAATTTCATCAACTGTTAAAGATGGTTCTGCTTCAACTAGTGCAGAGAGAGCATCATCATCAAAGTCAACAGGTCTTCCAGTACGAGCCTTATCCTCCACACTAAAATCATTATTTCTAAATCTTTCAAACCACTTCTGCGCAGTCCTTACACTAATTACAGTTTGATTATGAACAGTATTTAATTTTTTGGCTGCATTTGTAGCATTCTCATCACTTAAAAATAAAAAGTATAAAACAGGTCTCTTATATTCATCTGTTACTTCCATTTTAACGAAAATAAACAACTGAAATGTTCCCAATTCTGAACAGTATTATATGAGATCCAATTTAACACTTCAGTGTAAAAAGTATCACATTAGACTGGCATTTTTAACAGCAAAACAAGATTTTTCTCAAGGTCATAAAATAGGCATGAACTTATGGACTGACCTGATAATACAAAAATTAAAATCTAAACTATAATTTATGAATATCTATAAATTTCAAAACAAAGATAAACTTTTTGGACATTTTCATCTCTTGTAGATCTGGGAAAATTTGGACCAAGGTTTACAGAAAAAAGGTTTTCAACCCATTTTAATTTCATATAACTTAGTGGATCCCTGTCACATCAAATTCTCAGCCTTTAAGGCATTGATAAGAGCATTTACCCATTGTACCAGCTTCCAGGACAGCATAACAGCTGAATTACATCTTAAAAATCACAGAGCAGCATGGATAGCCAATAATGGTAGTACAAAATTTAATCATGACCTTTCAGACATCAAAATGTAAACATAAACTAGTAAACCAGAAATGAAGGATTGCTTTAAATTATATCCCAATTTTTAAGAAAGATACATAAAAAAACAGCCAAAGCTAACAATATCATATTAGTATATTGACACAACCCAGCAATCTTCAAAATTCTCAGGAATGATAAAAAAACCATATAACTGCAATTTGGCTTCAGGGATTTATTCATCCCAATAGATGACCAACATTTCAAATCAAAACTAATCCATGTGGGTGCCATTGGATGTAATTTACAACAATGACTTGGAACATAAGTATGCAATTAAAAAAATCTCAATAACACAATACTGTACTGGCAGCTTACTCACATTAAGACATACAAGTAAACCGAGAGCAAGCAAAAATCATCAGATCCACATCTAATATACATATTATAAGATATCTAGAAAAATTAAAAATTTATAAGGCTCATAAAAAATCCAGGTGCATCAACCATAGAGATGCAGACAATCTGTCTAACGCAGGGGTCGCCAAACTTTTTTAACCGTCGACCCCCCAACCACTTTTCAAAACCTCACATTGACCCTCACCGTAAAGTTTTATTACAAGTGTAAGTGTATGAGCAAAGAAAAAAAAAAAAAGGTTTAGCCACATCGACCCCCTAATCGACCCCCAATGATGTTGCATTGACCACTTTGGCAACTCCTGGTCTAACACATGGCAGTTCAATCACAAATTTTAATTATTTTGCCATTTTATTAACAGATAATTATTCTTTTATTTTTATTTTATTAATTTTACATTTACTTATTGTTACTTATTTCATATATTTTATTAGTTTAAGATAATGTACTTGAATTTAAATTCTTGTTCTTTTAAAGTTGTACTCACATTCTTTTAAATTTGTATTTATGTTCTTTTATTTTCCATTCCATTATATTCTGTAACTAAGAAAAATCAGTGAAACTGATCAAAAATGTTTTTACTTTTATTAAAATAGTTGCTGGATTTATAAAGGTGTAAGTTTTTTATGATATTTTTATAATTTATGAAACTATTTTTTTAATCAAAAAATTAATCTAATGAGCAATTATTTATTGTGACATTGTCACAATGCTGGGCTGCAATTTTTAATTATATTTTTAATTAATTTAATTTAAAATATGTGCAAATTAGTAGTTGCTTGCTCCTGTACATCATACTTTTCCTTTTACAATACAGTCGTGCTAGTCATTTATTAACTGCTTTCAGGAAAAAGTTTTGAATTGAAATAATGTGACTTCTAATTTACATCGGAAGTTTGTATATAGTTAATCAGGGTCTCCTGCCCCTGGTTTCCATACCTGATCTCATCTTTCATCTATCTAATTCCATTTCTAAGATTAAGAAAGGACAGACAGTTGGACAACAGTAGGAATTTATATGTCTACAATTTTTTCAACTTCAATTTTTTTATGGCTCAACTTTAATTACTCCCTATCTCATTAATAAACACAATATCAATTGTAAATAACATTTACCATAGCTCCTTTTTCACAACATCCTGCAATAATTCACCTATTATTAATATAAAAGATATGGGCATAAAGTTAAACCTTGATACACTCAAAAATCCACTCTAAAATCCCTTATTGTAACACTTTAACCTATTCCAACACTTGTCTTAACATTCCTGTACATATCCATAATTATATTTATTTAACTCTCATACACCTTTTTTCTTCCTGACTCCGAAAGAATTCACTGAGAGCATCCCAAATTGACAATGTATAGATAGTAAAAAAAAAAATTATAATTAGTCTTATCTTTTCTTAACCATAATGAAAAGTCCCAAAAATATTAAAAAAATGAATCCAAATTATAAAATGTTTAATATTCGTTATAGTCAACCCTACAGTCAGTTCCACAGAGTTTTACACTGACGAGAATCTATTCTATTAAATAAATTTCACAAACTATTTTTGGTATCTAAATTTTAAAATAATATATTTCCTAAATTAAAAAAGCTAAATTTTTTAATATAAATATTTATTTCCTTTAAAATTGAAAATGGCATTATAATCACTTTAATATAATTCATCTAATCATAAATCAAATTGAGCCTGTCTATCTCAAATCTCACAGGAATAAGAAAAAAATTCAAGACAAACAGGTTTCAAGATATAATGGTTCCTACATAGTAAATAGTAGGAGATTTGATTGGAATTTAATTAATACAATAGCAAGTACAGTACATACCTGTATTAGGTATAAATTAAATATTTTTGACATACTTTAACATAAATAGTTTGTCAATAGTTTCTGATGGCTGACTTTCTTCAACCAATAAGATGCAAGCCAAACTCATAGCCAATCAGACAAAAGCAACATTAAATGCAACTATGTACTGTATTTCAAAATATGTTTCTCATCTAGAATTTGTGCTATCAAAATGTAGTTGCCAAGTTTTGAATTTGTAATTGACACTTCAGTCCAAAATTTTAGATATAGAGGTTTTGGTAGAAAATTAATTGAGATAAACATGGAAAATATATTGAATTTAGGTTAAAATGCAAGGGAAAAAATTAATTTTAAGATAAACAGTTTTTTGAGATAGACATGTTTGAGATAGACAGGTTCAACTGTATATTATAACAAAATATTTTAATACAGTAAAATCTGATATTTTTAAATAAGTATGTCTTAAAATTTATACCAAAAAATAAAAATAATCACTGTTTTTAATATAAATACAGTTCTCAACAATTTATATATTATAAATAATAAGAACTTACTAAAACTGCTATAATCATATGCCATATTTCAGGTTTTAACAAATCAAAAAATTGTTTCCAGTCAAACTTTGTTTCTTGCATGATATCTTTATCTATGCCAAATAATCTAGATTTATGTTCAGCTTTAACTTCACAAGACACACTAATTCTTTGATTTACTAATTTCCATGTTATTAAAGTGCTGGAACTAAATTTAATCAAGAATTTACCATCTGCCTTTTGTTTCATAAAAATCCAAAATTTCTTTAAAACACTATGATTTTCTTTATAACATCTTTGAAAATTAACACTTTTTCTCTTTATATGTTGAAATAAATTTTGTGATCTGAAAAATAAAAATAATTCATTTAATATGGATAATATTTAATATTCTTTGGAATTAAGCACAAATTTGCTATGGAGAACTTATCATACAGGAACACTTTTTGTATGATAAGTCTCCATATCAAATTTGTGCTTAATTCCAAAGAACATACAACCAAAAAAGAGAACAGCAAGCAATCAAGTAATATTTAATACTCTATTTGCTTTTAATCTGCTTAACTGTATGTATGATCATATATTTAGTTTATTTTGAATCAATCCATGATTTTGTAATTGTTTTTAAACAATTATTGAAAAAATTTGTTGCCATACAAATCATAAAAAATTTTATGCATGATTTTTGCATTTATAATTAAATATATTTTAGATAAATGGAAAAAGCTAATACAATTAGATACATGAAATATAGAAATTATTAAGATATATTATTAAGCAGATTAATAAAATATTTCAAAAATAAAGTAAAATGAAAAAATTAATTATCATTTATTAGAAATTAAAAATTGCGTATCTTATGAAAATCTTAAAACTTTTCAAAGCTTTTATACTTAATATCAACATAATTTACATATTCTAATAAATAAAAAGAAAGCAGTAAACTAAAAATAAATTTATACAGTAATACCCCAAACTTACGCGATAGATGGGACCGAGCGATAACTGCGTAAGCCAGGGTATAATTTCGCAATTTGTGTAAAATCCAAGTCGGATGTATGTAAGCTAATAAATGTTCTCATTAATCTTATCTCGTCTTTTGATTCATTCACGGTTGCAAGAAATCACCACATAGATTCTCTCAAGTCTCTGTAGATATAACAAACACAGAAATAAATAACACAAAATAAATTGTAGCTATGTATCGATTCTGCGAGACATGTCTGAACATATAAGCTAAACAATAGTATGGGGGAGTGTGTAATCAAGAGTTGTGTGGTGCTCAAACAAAAGACAAATCAACGAGATTTGAAAATCGCATAACTCCGGGTTCGCGTAAGTTGGGATAGTGTAAGTCGAGGTATTACTGTATAAACACATAGCCAAAGAATAAATGTAATCATCCAAATATAAGCATAATTATCCATTGTATAGATACAGCAAAAAATAAACAGAAAAAAATTTATGTGATTGTTTCTAGACAATAATAATACTTAAAATGTAGTTGAATATTCCATTAAAAAAACAACTTTTGGCAAAACAGTCAAACTTCATAAATAAAGAAGTAACATGGCATTGTTCCTATTGCAATTTAATCATCAAGGTTACAATTTGTTACTGTTTTACCACATGATACTGACAGTGATAATGCCACAAAGAAATCACATAGAGAATTTTACGCAAAATTATTGAAAGACTAAAAGCAAATTTTTGCAGAGAGATATCTCCAGTATTCTAAATGTGCTGCAGAGTATCATAAACAGACTTTGGGCAACATTTTAAAGAACAAAAGATGTTGGACATCAACCAGAAAGTGAACATCCAAGATCTACCATCACTCAACAAACTATTTCATAATAAAAGTACATCATAATAGAAGAATGTCTCATAAGAATGTCTCTATAGAGCTGTCTACACCCATTAGTATTCAAGTTTCACAATAATCTGCCTATAGGATGCTTCAGACAAACAGTGTTTTTGCTAAATGCACAATATGTTATGTTTACTTGATCCCTGTGTACAGAAGTCCTGTTTTTAACATGGTGTCAAGAACATCAACATTAGACTTTGAAAAGAGTAACACTTTGCTCATTGAAAAGTCCAAAGACAGTCTACAGAATGATTCCTATTGGATTAAAATCTAGATAGAATGGGAAATTCAATATAGTCCTATAAACATTGTGGAAAGAGATCAATTTGCAGATGGTCTGGAGCAGCATTATGCTTAATGACTGCACTGAGCACCAAGTTTTTGCAAGGAGGTAAAAAAGGATGAGGTCTGGAACCCATGTGAAAAATTTCACATTGATTCTAAGACCTTTGATGATACTATGGGTTTGGATTTCATTTTCATGGATGATGATGTCCAAAGACAGCCCTAGGATTTGTGAGGCCCTAGGAAAGATTTATTTTTTGGGACCCATGAAAAGAGTGGTAGAAATAGAGAATAGTTTTGTTTAGGTCTACAATAATATGAATATTTTTAATATAGAAACAGACAGAAAAACATAAATAAAGTAATAAAAAGTGTACAATAGTTTTATAACGAATTGCAAAATTCAACAAGAATATAGAAATTTGTCTTTAAAACTGCTCCCCTGCTTTTAGCAAGATTGAATTAATAACTTACAGAAAAAATTTCAGTTTTGCAGCAATATCTCTTTCAATACACAAGATTGAAGTGAAGAAAGTTTCTCTTGACACATTTTTCATCAGAGATAGTTCTTGATCAATTTTAACTTTGAAAATGATCATTCTATAGATTCAACAGATATCAGAACAATTATATTTTCAATAATTACCAGTTTAACAATTTAAAAACTAAAATATACTATCAAATTTGCAAAGCTTATGAAAGCATGAAGCTCTAAACATCATCTTTTTTCACCTTTATATATGCTTGCCTCTAATAATGCCAGCTCACATAAAACTCATATCCTGTAGAACATATGTGGGATGCTCTAGGGAGATAAGTTGCATCCTGTCAGCCTAAACCAAGAACATTCCAGGAGCTCAATTCTTGAACATCTTAAAGATGCTCTTGTTCAAGAATGGACTCTGCACCTAACAGAACTGATAAACAATGTATAACCATCATGAGCAATTGCTGTGCAATGTATGTTTATGTGCACAACAAAAGGTAACAATAAATCATATTAATCATGTTCTGTGCAAAAAGATAATGCTTAATACTTTTCATGTTGTTTTTGGCTTGATGTAATTTAGACTAAATTTTTGATTTGCAATTATTTTGTTGTATAAAGAATATAATGTTCTGCTTGTATGCTAAGTTTCACACTATTGTAATCAGTAATTCCCAAGATACATACCAAATTAATCATTAAAATATTTCAGTTTAGTGCCACACAAAATTTAGTGCCAATTTCAGAAGCAAATATATCTTTATTAAAGTTTGACTGTATTTTCTAATGTGATTAAATTATATATATAAAAATGTAAAGTATGATTTTGTTTTACAAAGTCATTGCATATAAGCAGATATCTTGTAAGAAAAACTTTCACATAAATTTATATCCTAAAAAGTTTTAGATGATTATGTATACTGTTAATTGTAAGTGATTATGCAATCACTTACAATTAACAGTAAAATATTAAAATAAATTTTAAACGTTTCACTTATAATTTTATATGAATCCAGAACCTTTAAACACTAGTAATATATTTGTTTTCTGAAACCGTTTTACTATTTATTGACTGTTGAACACAAGATTGTGTTATTAATTAAACACTTGGATTTTTAAATATAAACTGAATAAAGATAAAAAAAAGCCAAGTGTTTAATTAATAGCACAATCTTGTGTTCAACAGTCAAACTAGTAATATAGTTTTAATGAAAATATTCATTGAAAGCTTTCATTGAAATTATGTTACTGGTGTTTAAAGGTTCTGTATTTGTGTGATTAACTCCGGTAATTCGAGAAGAAGAGAGTTATAATTTTATATAATGAATAACATTTTAGTCAAATGTTTCTGAGTATAAAGAACAAAATTTTGTTGTACCATATTGAGTACACTACTTTAGAAAATACATGCAAACTAAGATAATCACCTCAGTGAATACATTCAGTAGTTATCCAAGATTTAGAAAGTCAAATGATAAAGAAATACAGTTTGCTGACTGTGTTTCTCTAGCTAATATTTTGCAGCCAAATTCAATAGCACTAGAAGTCGTTAATCTAACCATTCACCATCCAAAAAACGTTAACCATATATATCAATCATGCATGAAACAAAACCCTACTGTATTTTCAATAAAAAAATATATTTTGTGTCAATTTTGTAGTTTTTAAAATGTGGCAACCATATATTAAAATCTATGTAGCTATGTATCGATTCTGCGAGACATGTCTGAACATATAAGCTAAACAATAGTATGGGGGAGTGTGTAATCAAGAGTTGTGTGGTGCTCAAACAAANGTAAAAAGTATCACATTAGACTGGCATTTTTAACAGCAAAACAAGATTTTTCTCAAGGTCATAAAATAGGCATGAACTTATGGACTGACCTGATAATACAAAAATTAAAATCTAAACTATAATTTATGAATATCTATAAATTTCAAAACAAAGATAAACTTTTTGGACATTTTCATCTCTTGTAGATCTGGGAAAATTTGGACCAAGGTTTACAGAAAAAAGGTTTTCAACCCATTTTAATTTCATATAACTTAGTGGATCCCTGTCACATCAAATTCTCAGCCTTTAAGGCATTGATAAGAGCATTTACCCATTGTACCAGCTTCCAGGACAGCATAACAGCTGAATTACATCTTAAAAATCACAGAGCAGCATGGATAGCCAATAATGGTAGTACAAAATTTAATCATGACCTTTCAGACATCAAAATGTAAACATAAACTAGTAAACCAGAAATGAAGGATTGCTTTAAATTATATCCCAATTTTTAAGAAAGATACATAAAAAAACAGCCAAAGCTAACAATATCATATTAGTATATTGACACAACCCAGCAATCTTCAAAATTCTCAGGAATGATAAAAAAACCATATAACTGCAATTTGGCTTCAGGGATTTATTCATCCCAATAGATGACCAACATTTCAAATCAAAACTAATCCATGTGGGTGCCATTGGATGTAATTTACAACAATGACTTGGAACATAAGTATGCAATTAAAAAAATCTCAATAACACAATACTGTACTGGCAGCTTACTCACATTAAGACATACAAGTAAACCGAGAGCAAGCAAAAATCATCAGATCCACATCTAATATACATATTATAAGATATCTAGAAAAATTAAAAATTTATAAGGCTCATAAAAAATCCAGGTGCATCAACCATAGAGATGCAGACAATCTGTCTAACGCAGGGGTCGCCAAACTTTTTTAACCGTCGACCCCCCAACCACTTTTCAAAACCTCACATTGACCCTCACCGTAAAGTTTTATTACAAGTGTAAGTGTATGAGCAAAGAAAAAAAAAAAAAGGTTTAGCCACATCGACCCCCTAATCGACCCCCAATGATGTTGCATTGACCACTTTGGCAACTCTTAGTCAATACCTGTGCCAAGTATATATGTAATAATCTTAAACATGGGTTTTTTATCTGTTGAAAAAAATTTCCAATTTCAGTTTGTCCAGAGCAACTAACAAATCTTGATACAACATTTACAACATCTCCTAATAATACGGGTATTTGGATATTGTAATATGCAACAGCAATTGCACTCTGGAAAATTTTATACATAAAAATTTTAAAATCATTTAAGTTATTTAATTAAGTATGTATCTTAATTATTAAACTATTTAATTAAAAATATTTAATTATTTACTTCAAAATAAAATATTTTTTATTAAAACTTAAATTAAATTTACAAATATTAATTGAAACAATTCTGAATAAATTAAATACTCTTTCTAATAATTAATACAAAAATGAACTGAAGAAAAATTTTGATTTGTTAGTATTTATTAGTAAATTTATTTTATGAAATTTTTAAGCACAAATTTACATGGTATTTAAATCAAATTTTTAAAATATAAATTTATTGTATCAAGTCAGTCCATAAGTTCATGTGTATTTTTATCTACAAAAAAAGCAACAAAACATTTTAATTAAATTTTATTTCAATCTATAATGTATTCACCATTATTTTGTACAATTTCTTGCCATCTTGATGATAGCTTTTTAATCCCGTCTTCGTAAAATGATTTCGGTTTTGAATCAAAATATTCAGAAATAGCCTTTTTTACATTGTTCTCATCCTCAAAAGTTTTCCCTTTTAAAAAATTCTGCAAACTCCGAAAAAGATGATAATCACTGGGAGCAATATCTGGCAAATATGGTGGATGAGGTAAAATTTCCCAGTTGAAGCTTTTGAGTTGAGCAGTTGACGTTGTTGTCAGTTAGCTATTGACAGTTCATGTGGTATCCATTTTCCTAGCTTTGAAACTTTTCCGATTTGTTGTAGATGTCTATGAACAGTTCCATGGGATGAATTTAAACGTTCCGCAATTTCATCAACTGTTAAAGATGGTTCTGCTTCAACTAGTGCAGAGAGAGCATCATCATCAAAGTCAACGGGTCTTCCAGTACGAGCCTTATCCTCCACACTAAAATCATTATTTCTAAATCTTTCAAACCACTTCTGCGCAGTCCTTACACTAATTACAGTTTGATTATGAACAGTATTTAATTTTTTGGCTGCATTTGTAGCATTCTCATCACTTAAAAATAAAAAGTATAAAACAGGTCTCTTATATTCATCTGTTACTTCCATTTTAACGAAAATAAACAACTGAAATGTTCCCAATTCTGAACAGTATTATATGAGATCCAATTTAACACTTCAGTGTAAAAAGTATCACATTAGACTGGCATTTTTAACAGCAAAACAAGATTTTTCTCAAGGTCATAAAATAGGCATGAACTTATGGACTGACCTGATAATACAAAAATTAAAATCTAAACTATAATTTATGAATATCTATAAATTTCAAAACAAAGATAAACTTTTTGGACATTTTCATCTCTTGTAGATCTGGGAAAATTTGGACCAAGGTTTACAGAAAAAAGGTTTTCAACCCATTTTAATTTCATATAACTTAGTGGATCCCTGTCACATCAAATTCTCAGCCTTTAAGGCATTGATAAGAGCATTTACCCATTGTACCAGCTTCCAGGACAGCATAACAGCTGAATTACATCTTAAAAATCACAGAGCAGCATGGATAGCCAATAATGGTAGTACAAAATTTAATCATGACCTTTCAGACATCAAAATGTAAACATAAACTAGTAAACCAGAAATGAAGGATTGCTTTAAATTATATCCCAATTTTTAAGAAAGATACATAAAAAAACAGCCAAAGCTAACAATATCATATTAGTATATTGACACAACCCAGCAATCTTCAAAATTCTCAGGAATGATAAAAAAACCATATAACTGCAATTTGGCTTCAGGGATTTATTCATCCCAATAGATGACCAACATTTCAAATCAAAACTAATCCATGTGGGTGCCATTGGATGTAATTTACAACAATGACTTGGAACATAAGTATGCAATTAAAAAAATCTCAATAACACAATACTGTACTGGCAGCTTACTCACATTAAGACATACAAGTAAACCGAGAGCAAGCAAAAATCATCAGATCCACATCTAATATACATATTATAAGATATCTAGAAAAATTAAAAATTTATAAGGCTCATAAAAAATCCAGGTGCATCAACCATAGAGATGCAGACAATCTGTCTAACGCAGGGGTCGCCAAACTTTTTTAACCGTCGACCCCCCAACCACTTTTCAAAACCTCACATTGACCCTCACCGTAAAGTTTTATTACAAGTGTAAGTGTATGAGCAAAGAAAAAAAAAAAAAGGTTTAGCCACATCGACCCCCTAATCGACCCCCAATGATGTTGCATTGACCACTTTGGCAACTCCTGGTCTAACACATGGCAGTTCAATCACAAATTTTAATTATTTTGCCATTTTATTAACAGATAATTATTCTTTTATTTTTATTTTATTAATTTTACATTTACTTATTGTTACTTATTTCATATATTTTATTAGTTTAAGATAATGTACTTGAATTTAAATTCTTGTTCTTTTAAAGTTGTACTCACATTCTTTTAAATTTGTATTTATGTTCTTTTATTTTCCATTCCATTATATTCTGTAACTAAGAAAAATCAGTGAAACTGATCAAAAATGTTTTTACTTTTATTAAAATAGTTGCTGGATTTATAAAGGTGTAAGTTTTTTATGATATTTTTATAATTTATGAAACTATTTTTTTAATCAAAAAATTAATCTAATGAGCAATTATTTATTGTGACATTGTCACAATGCTGGGCTGCAATTTTTAATTATATTTTTAATTAATTTAATTTAAAATATGTGCAAATTAGTAGTTGCTTGCTCCTGTACATCATACTTTTCCTTTTACAATACAGTCGTGCTAGTCATTTATTAACTGCTTTCAGGAAAAAGTTTTGAATTGAAATAATGTGACTTCTAATTTACATCGGAAGTTTGTATATAGTTAATCAGGGTCTCCTGCCCCTGGTTTCCATACCTGATCTCATCTTTCATCTATCTAATTCCATTTCTAAGATTAAGAAAGGACAGACAGTTGGACAACAGTAGGAATTTATATGTCTACAATTTTTTCAACTTCAATTTTTTTATGGCTCAACTTTAATTACTCCCTATCTCATTAATAAACACAATATCAATTGTAAATAACATTTACCATAGCTCCTTTTTCACAACATCCTGCAATAATTCACCTATTATTAATATAAAAGATATGGGCATAAAGTTAAACCTTGATACACTCAAAAATCCACTCTAAAATCCCTTATTGTAACACTTTAACCTATTCCAACACTTGTCTTAACATTCCTGTACATATCCATAATTATATTTATTTAACTCTCATACACCTTTTTTCTTCCTGACTCCGAAAGAATTCACTGAGAGCATCCCAAATTGACAATGTATAGATAGTAAAAAAAAAAATTATAATTAGTCTTATCTTTTCTTAACCATAATGAAAAGTCCCAAAAATATTAAAAAAATGAATCCAAATTATAAAATGTTTAATATTCGTTATAGTCAACCCTACAGTCAGTTCCACAGAGTTTTACACTGACGAGAATCTATTCTATTAAATAAATTTCACAAACTATTTTTGGTATCTAAATTTTAAAATAATATATTTCCTAAATTAAAAAAGCTAAATTTTTTAATATAAATATTTATTTCCTTTAAAATTGAAAATGGCATTATAATCACTTTAATATAATTCATCTAATCATAAATCAAATTGAGCCTGTCTATCTCAAATCTCACAGGAATAAGAAAAAAATTCAAGACAAACAGGTTTCAAGATATAATGGTTCCTACATAGTAAATAGTAGGAGATTTGATTGGAATTTAATTAATACAATAGCAAGTACAGTACATACCTGTATTAGGTATAAATTAAATATTTTTGACATACTTTAACATAAATAGTTTGTCAATAGTTTCTGATGGCTGACTTTCTTCAACCAATAAGATGCAAGCCAAACTCATAGCCAATCAGACAAAAGCAACATTAAATGCAACTATGTACTGTATTTCAAAATATGTTTCTCATCTAGAATTTGTGCTATCAAAATGTAGTTGCCAAGTTTTGAATTTGTAATTGACACTTCAGTCCAAAATTTTAGATATAGAGGTTTTGGTAGAAAATTAATTGAGATAAACATGGAAAATATATTGAATTTAGGTTAAAATGCAAGGGAAAAAATTAATTTTAAGATAAACAGTTTTTTGAGATAGACATGTTTGAGATAGACAGGTTCAACTGTATATTATAACAAAATATTTTAATACAGTAAAATCTGATATTTTTAAATAAGTATGTCTTAAAATTTATACCAAAAAATAAAAATAATCACTGTTTTTAATATAAATACAGTTCTCAACAATTTATATATTATAAATAATAAGAACTTACTAAAACTGCTATAATCATATGCCATATTTCAGGTTTTAACAAATCAAAAAATTGTTTCCAGTCAAACTTTGTTTCTTGCATGATATCTTTATCTATGCCAAATAATCTAGATTTATGTTCAGCTTTAACTTCACAAGACACACTAATTCTTTGATTTACTAATTTCCATGTTATTAAAGTGCTGGAACTAAATTTAATCAAGAATTTACCATCTGCCTTTTGTTTCATAAAAATCCAAAATTTCTTTAAAACACTATGATTTTCTTTATAACATCTTTGAAAATTAACACTTTTTCTCTTTATATGTTGAAATAAATTTTGTGATCTGAAAAATAAAAATAATTCATTTAATATGGATAATATTTAATATTCTTTGGAATTAAGCACAAATTTGCTATGGAGAACTTATCATACAGGAACACTTTTTGTATGATAAGTCTCCATATCAAATTTGTGCTTAATTCCAAAGAACATACAACCAAAAAAGAGAACAGCAAGCAATCAAGTAATATTTAATACTCTATTTGCTTTTAATCTGCTTAACTGTATGTATGATCATATATTTAGTTTATTTTGAATCAATCCATGATTTTGTAATTGTTTTTAAACAATTATTGAAAAAATTTGTTGCCATACAAATCATAAAAAATTTTATGCATGATTTTTGCATTTATAATTAAATATATTTTAGATAAATGGAAAAAGCTAATACAATTAGATACATGAAATATAGAAATTATTAAGATATATTATTAAGCAGATTAATAAAATATTTCAAAAATAAAGTAAAATGAAAAAATTAATTATCATTTATTAGAAATTAAAAATTGCGTATCTTATGAAAATCTTAAAACTTTTCAAAGCTTTTATACTTAATATCAACATAATTTACATATTCTAATAAATAAAAAGAAAGCAGTAAACTAAAAATAAATTTATACAGTAATACCCCGAACTTACGCGATAGATGGGACCGAGCAATAACTGCGTAAGCCAGGGTATAATTTCGCAATTTGTGTAAAATCCAAGTCGGATGTATGTAAGCTAATAAATGTTCTCATTAATCTTATCTCGTCTTTTGATTCATTCACGGTTGCAAGAAATCACCACATAGATTCTCTCAAGTCTCTGTAGATATAACAAACACAGAAATAAATAACACAAAATAAATTGTAGCTATGTATCGATTCTGCGAGACATGTCTGAACATATAAGCTAAACAATAGTATGGGGGAGTGTGTAATCAAGAGTTGTGTGGTGCTCAAACAAAAGACAAATCAACGAGATTTGAAAATCGCATAACTCCGGGTTCGCGTAAGTTGGGATAGTGTAAGTCGAGGTATTACTGTATAAACACATAGCCAAAGAATAAATGTAATCATCCAAATATAAGCATAATTATCCATTGTATAGATACAGCAAAAAATAAACAGAAAAAAATTTATGTGATTGTTTCTAGACAATAATAATACTTAAAATGTAGTTGAATATTCCATTAAAAAAACAACTTTTGGCAAAACAGTCAAACTTCATAAATAAAGAAGTAACATGGCATTGTTCCTATTGCAATTTAATCATCAAGGTTACAATTTGTTACTGTTTTACCACATGATACTGACAGTGATAATGCCACAAAGAAATCACATAGAGAATTTTACGCAAAATTATTGAAAGACTAAAAGCAAATTTTTGCAGAGAGATATCTCCAGTATTCTAAATGTGCTGCAGAGTATCATAAACAGACTTTGGGCAACATTTTAAAGAACAAAAGATGTTGGATATCAACCAGAAAGTGAACATCCAAGATCTACCATCACTCAACAAACTATTTCATAATAAAAGTACATCATAATAGAAGAATGTCTCATAAGAATGTCTCTATAGAGCTGTCTACACCCATTAGTATTCAAGTTTCACAATAATCTGCCTATAGGATGCTTCAGACAAACAGTGTTTTTGCTAAATGCACAATATGTTATGTTTACTTGATCCCTGTGTACAGAAGTCCTGTTTTTAACATGGTGTCAAGAACATCAACATTAGACTTTGAAAAGAGTAACACTTTGCTCATTGAAAAGTCCAAAGACAGTCTACAGAATGATTCCTATTGGATTAAAATCTAGATAGAATGGGAAATTCAATATAGTCCTATAAACATTGTGGAAAGAGATCAATTTGCAGATGGTCTGGAGCAGCATTATGCTTAATGACTGCACTGAGCACCAAGTTTTTGCAAGGAGGTAAAAAAGGATGAGGTCTGGAACCCATGTGAAAAATTTCACATTGATTCTAAGACCTTTGATGATACTATGGGTTTGGATTTCATTTTCATGGATGATGATGTCCAAAGACAGCCCTAGGATTTGTGAGGCCCTAGGAAAGATTTATTTTTTGGGACCCATGAAAAGAGTGGTAGAAATAGAGAATAGTTTTGTTTAGGTCTACAATAATATGAATATTTTTAATATAGAAACAGACAGAAAAACATAAATAAAGTAATAAAAAGTGTACAATAGTTTTATAACGAATTGCAAAATTCAACAAGAATATAGAAATTTGTCTTTAAAACTGCTCCCCTGCTTTTAGCAAGATTGAATTAATAACTTACAGAAAAAATTTCAGTTTTGCAGCAATATCTCTTTCAATACACAAGATTGAAGTGAAGAAAGTTTCTCTTGACACATTTTTCATCAGAGATAGTTCTTGATCAATTTTAACTTTGAAAATGATCATTCTATAGATTCAACAGATATCAGAACAATTATATTTTCAATAATTACCAGTTTAACAATTTAAAAACTAAAATATACTATCAAATTTGCAAAGCTTATGAAAGCATGAAGCTCTAAACATCATCTTTTTTCACCTTTATATATGCTTGCCTCTAATAATGCCAGCTCACATAAAACTCATATCCTGTAGAACATATGTGGGATGCTCTAGGGAGATAAGTTGCATCCTGTCAGCCTAAACCAAGAACATTCCAGGAGCTCAATTCTTGAACATCTTAAAGATGCTCTTGTTCAAGAATGGACTCTGCACCTAACAGAACTGATAAACAATGTATAACCATCATGAGCAATTGCTGTGCAATGTATGTTTATGTGCACAACAAAAGGTAACAATAAATCATATTAATCATGTTCTGTGCAAAAAGATAATGCTTAATACTTTTCATGTTGTTTTTGGCTTGATGTAATTTAGACTAAATTTTTGATTTGCAATTATTTTGTTGTATAAAGAATATAATGTTCTGCTTGTATGCTAAGTTTCACACTATTGTAATCAGTAATTCCCAAGATACATACCAAATTAATCATTAAAATATTTCAGTTTAGTGCCACACAAAATTTAGTGCCAATTTCAGAAGCAAATATATCTTTATTAAAGTTTGACTGTATTTTCTAATGTGATTAAATTATATATATAAAAATGTAAAGTATGATTTTGTTTTACAAAGTCATTGCATATAAGCAGATATCTTGTAAGAAAAACTTTCGCATAAATTTATATCCTAAAAAGTTTTAGATGATTATGTATACTGTTAATTGTAAGTGATTATGCAATCACTTACAATTAACAGTAAAATATTAAAATAAATTTTAAACGTTTCACTTATAATTTTATATGAATCCAGAACCTTTAAACACTAGTAATATATTTGTTTTCTGAAACCGTTTTACTATTTATTGACTGTTGAACACAAGATTGTGTTATTAATTAAACACTTGGATTTTTAAATATAAACTGAATAAAGATAAAAAAAAGCCAAATGTTTAATTAATAGCACAATCTTGTGTTCAACAGTCAAACTAGTAATATAGTTTTAATGAAAATATTCATTGAAAGCTTTCATTGAAATTATGTTACTGGTGTTTAAAGGTTCTGTATTTGTGTGATTAACTCCAGTAATTCGAGAAGAAGAGAGTTATAATTTTATATAATGAATAACATTTTAGTCAAATGTTTCTGAGTATAAAGAACAAAATTTTGTTGTACCATATTGAGTACACTACTTTAGAAAATACATGCAAACTAAGATAATCACCTCAGTGAATACATTCAGTAGTTATCCAAGATTTAGAAAGTCAAATGATAAAGAAATACAGTTTGCTGACTGTGTTTCTCTAGCTAATATTTTGCAGCCAAATTCAATAGCACTAGAAGTCGTTAATCTAACCATTCACCATCCAAAAAACGTTAACCATATATATCAATCATGCATGAAACAAAACCCTACTGTATTTTCAATAAAAAAATATATTTTGTGTCAATTTTGTAGTTTTTAAAATGTGGCAACCATATATTAAAATCTATAATATATTTTAAAAATCAATTTATCAAGTGTATTAGTAATAATTAAAAAAATATATTACAAACCTGATTAATGAATTTTTAATGTTTCTACTGTACATGATTGATAAATTTCCACATTTTATAGGATACATAAAGTTTAATAATATGTTTGACATTTTAATCAGTTTCAATCAAATTTATTCAAAATATTTTAAAAAAATTTCTTTTATATATTCCTGTAAGAAAAAAATATATATATACATTAATACATGATGTAATAATTATGATAAAAAAATTTAAATAAAATAATAAATATATAGTTTTCATACATAAAAAAATTAAAATAAACTTAATAATTTCTTTAACTCTCTAAACACAAGTTCGACCAAAATTCCCTTAATCCATTCAAGACAAAATCAGCCAGAGGGAAATTTGTTTGACTTTCCCCTTGTAGCCTGACAAATAAAAACAATTTAATCTCCAGGTATAATACATAAAAAAAAAGGAAATTTTCAGAGTTTAAAGAGTAAAAGAATTAATTTATAGAAACTGGTGCCTTTTCTTAACAGATTTTGAACACAAAAGAAAAAAATATAATTGTTTAATCTCCATTTCCAGACACCCAAGTACAAACAACCACAACCTGAATACATGAAGCTAGTTATGCTAAACTATTTACCTGATTTTAAAAAAATACATAGAGATGTAGCCAAATATAACACTGTCAACATGGTATATAAACATAACACCACAGTTTTCAAGTTTGTTACAAAATGACAAGGTCCAATAGTATTCTTTTCATTTAAAAATATTCCATGTCAAATCTAATGAAGATCTATAAATTTAGATCAAAAATGTTTTTGTTTCATTAAAATTTACTGCTAGAGTATATTTTAAGATGTAAATTTTATTTCTGGCATTCCTTCCAGTTTATAGAATAGTTACACTGAAAAAAATATACTTAATAATATATACACAGTCTATCATACCTAAGATGATATTTACAGGATAAGAAGGTGACAGGGGCATAGGTAGTCCACGATTCATCTACTATTTGGTTTAAATGGTTAATGCAGTGCCGTAACTAGCCATTCCTGTGCCCTGTGCAAGAATTTGCAATTAGGCCTCTTAATTAATTAGGTTTGGGAAAATAATAAAACAAATATATGCATTTTGGACTCCCCTTCCAAGTGGGCCATGTGCGAGTGCACCTGTCGCACCTGCCTAGTTACGGCACTGGGTTAATGAATAAATAACTTTGATAATCATCGTTCTAAACTATTAAATCATTGATTTAATAGTTTAGAACGATGCATTTTAATTAAAATGACCATTTGTTATAGTTTTAATGTAACAGTTCAATTTTTGCTCTCATTTTTTACATACATAATCTTATATTCCCCTGTATACTTCCCTTGTTTTATGTACAAAAAAGAGAATTTCTATAATTAAATTTAACAAATAAAAAGAATGCACTAAGGATTCACAAAATACAAAATATTAATAAAGCTCTGTGGATACGACTTTTTAAACATGGCGCAATCCATCGCTTAGGACATAACCTTCATATACTTTTCCTATATATCTCGTGTATTATTCCAATTTCACTCTATAACAATTCACTTTTGGTATTAAAAAATCAACATCGATAACCTGCATATATTAACGATCGATTGATTATATCCGTAGCAAACTACGGCACGAATACTTACACTGCCATAAAACAAATAAATTAAATCGTCCACGACTTTTCTTGATCTCTTCGTGTTGTTTCTGTTGTGTTTTTAAAGCATTAAAAAACGAGAAAAGTCCGTAAATAAATATAAAATCGGGTCAATAATAGAAAAATAGTTTTAAAAGAGAGCATGCGCAGTAAGATAATAAGGTTTAAGGAAGTAAAAGCAGACGACAAATTTTTGTAATTAATTATAATTATATAATTAAATTAATTTAATTTAATAAAATTTCTGTTTTAATTTCATTAAGTAATATTAAAATGTAATTTTAATTTATTACGAATACACATCTAATACAATTAAAACAGATATGAAATTATGTTGAACAGCACTTTTTAGTGGCCGGATGGCAGAGCGGTTAAGGTGGTAGCCTACCGCTCTGAGGAGCCCGGCCTCGAATCCAGACGGGTCGATAAATCACCAGGAACTCTTCGGGGTGGCCCGTTTGGAAATTTCGAGCCCCGTCCTTCACCATCCGGCCGCCCCATTGTGGGCCTAGCCAAACCCATAATGGGCTTGCTAAAAGAGGTCCTCTTAGTGCCCACAGGGTGGAAAAAGTTTAAAAAAAAGCACTTTTTTAAAATACTCTTTTTGCCCTTTGGACACTAAGCGGGCGTTTTTAACAAGCCATTACGGGTTTGGCCAGACGCATAATGGGACGGCTGGATAATGAAACGGGACCGAAGTATTCGAATGGATTACCCCCGAAAAATTTCTGGGGTTTTTTGATCCAAAGCTGGTGATTTTCACACTTCGTGAAAATAAAACTCGGATAATCAAAATGTTTTTTTCCAGTTTCGACTCTTTCTGATCTGCAGGCACTAAAAGAACCTTTTAAATTTATCATGCCCATCGTGGGTAGCGGCAGGATGGTTGAGATAGATAAAGAATCAGTCTAGGCTTTCGATACCCGGAAACGAATCCGGACATAAAACCCCAGGAATTTGTCGGGGTCTAGCCCGTCCCGGATATGCTAGATCCCGTCCATCACCACTCGGGCGACCATTGTGGACCTGACCGAACCCACAATGGATTTTGCAAAAGGCCTTCTTCAAAAGGCCAAGGATATCATTGTGAGTTCGGCCAGGCCCATAATAGGACGGTCGAGTGGTGAGGAACGGAACCCGACATTTCCGAGACAGACCGCCCAAAAAGAGTTTTAAGGAGTTGCTCGCTTGAATTCGATTCCGGGTTTCCAGTGAGGTAGATTGACGCCTTAATCGCATCCAGTCGTTGAATATTCACAACTGTTATTACTTTTTAAAATAAAAACTTGAGTCTTCTTTTTCTCTGTTTTCTTTATGACAGTCTAAAAGATGCCGTTATTATCTGTAAGAAAGTTTTTAAAAAAATTAGTGTATGCAGAATGTAAAGAGTATTAACGAGATTTTATTCTTTTAATATATTCTTTTTTTTTGAAAAACATTATTATGAGAAAAATTTGGCAATAAAAAAGAAAAAGTTTTATAATCCTACGAAAATTTATAATCGTTTGGGTTGGCAACGTTCCCTCTTGTGTATGTATATTTCATTTTGAATTACATATCACATGTGAACTCTTGCTGTATTTGTTTTCGTGTTGCTATATTCAGAAGCATTACTGAATTCTAATTCGTAGAAGTTGTATAAGTAAATATTGTGAGTACTGATATTGAATTAAAATTACGATTTTTAAATTGATTTCAGACGAGAACTGTGAGTTTTTATTTCAGTGTACATAATGTAAGATGGAAAAATTGCTTATTATAAACAAGTATAAATAAAGCGAAACGATGTTTTACAATGAATCCAGGAAAATGTCCCAACATACACTGTACAAACACACTTATAACACATATTAATTAAATATAGTTTATTTAACAATCTTTACGGTCAATCTTTACCTATGTGCACCGTCATGGCCACAGAGTGGGGACCCACATTCTAATGGGACATTCCAATTTTCAACGCGAGTGTTGAAGTCAACAATTTGACGTCATCAATGATGTTCCAACTCGAGTACGAAGTGCTTAGTTTCCATAATTCCATTCTCATCAAGATGGATTCCATTCAAATGTCACACCAATTACCCACAATTCATTGGAAAATAGCAGTCAATATGTCTGTTGAGAGCTGAGTGTGTTGAGACAGTGCTGACAATAGTGCCATTTCAACGTTAAAAAAAAGGAACGATTTTTAATGAACATTGAGATCAGCATTGAAAATTGGAATGTCCCATAACCTAGTCTAACCTATTCTAATAAATTACCAATTAATTTGGTAATTTATTAAAATAGGTTAGGTTAGGTTAGGTTAGGTTAGAATGTGAGTCCCCATTGTGAGGCCATGACAGTGCACATAGGTAAAGATTAACCATCATTTCCATTCATGAAGGACAATTTAAATTTAGAATAAGTTAAATCCTGCAATTATTAGACTAGTTTTTCTCTTTTCTCTACACGTGGAAGTGTAAAAGATCAAAACAGAACCAGGTGGACTGACCACCTGGTTCTGTTTTGATCTTTTACACTTCCATATAACTTGGAAACTTTCCATTTGTGTAATGATCTTCATGTTCTGACTGCATAGTTTACATGCAGTACAGTCCTGGCAAACCAACATATAAGGACGTGTCAGATTAAGGATATTGTTGAATTATTGAAAATAAGGTGAATTCAATGGTTTAATCTTTCAGAAAGAAAATATTTATTTATTTGCTTGATATTAATACTTTGTATTAAGTTGGACTATCCTATTGATCAAAACATCCGAGTATGTTGCCATAGTTGATAATTAGTCTTGCCAAATTGGTAGACTAACACTAAATTTAGTGGAATTGAAGCAACCATTGGAAATTTAGTGGAGGTACAGTATTTTTGGTGGGAAATTTCAGGGAACTGATATTTATATTTGTAAATAGTGTTATGTTATACGATACTGTTTTTTTTATTTTAGCAACATAAGATGACAAGTCTAACAATCTTTAATATTGTGTTCAAGCTTGACTCAATATAATGCCACATTTATTCAAATTTTGTGGAAACTGGAGTTTAACTAGTGGGAAGTTTATCTATGATTTGGCAACAGTGCAAGAGTGACTAGTGTCATATTATTGGATATGTCAAACTAGTGAATGACCGGGTTATCAAGATTGTACTATATGTCATGTGTTCTCAGTTAATACATGTTTCAAAATAGTTTTTTAACTACTTTGTTTGTTTATGGTATGTAAATAAAGTGACTTTTTCCTAGCCAAAACTCTCTTTTCTTGTTCACATTTTAGAATTAATACTTATTAAAAGTTTGTTTCACAGATAAAACTTTTTTAATGCAGTTGTTATTTGAAACAGGCAAAATACTGTCAAAACAATAAGTCTCATCCTCTTTTTTGTTTAAATTCATACAGTGAAATATTTAAAATATTTGATCATTGTACAAATTTATGCTATTGATTATGTTATGCATAAATAATTTTAAGAAATATATCAAGTTGAAATCCTGATTATTGAAATTGAAATTAATTCTGATTATTTTTATAGCTTTTCATCATATTTATTTATTTACATATTTATTTTTTTAGAGCAATGAAACTGCTGGATTATGAAAATCAGGTATTTCTTGAACTTATTGAAGAAGATGGACTTGTCATTATGGCCAAGTAAGTTTACAAAATTTATCAAATACTGCAATTGTCTGTGAAATACATTAATTTTATTTCTTCTTATTTTTATATTCAAATAAATCACCAAATTAATCAAATTACCAGCATTGATAGATATTTCAGTATTTTTTTAATTAAATATGTAGTATTTTTCCTTCTGTAGAAAAATAAGTTTGATTCTATAATGAATGAATAGGAGGAATATTAAATTTTTTATAATAATCTAAGTAACTTACAACTGTCCAACAGATTTTTAAATATTCAGTTTGGGTGTCATACAGGAAGTAAATAAATTGAAAATAAATATTAATGATTACAAATTCAGATTCATTTTATTAATAAAATACTGAGTTACAGTACATACCTGGTGCAGACAAGAACATATTGGCATTATTACAGATCATTAACATTAGAGGCTACAGTAACATTACATGTGTAGTATATACAAAAGATGGGGATAAAATAACAATTTGTATGATACAGAAAATGTATGCATTAAAATATTATATAGCAGAGAATCACAAAATACAGAAAGTAAATAACAAAATACAATACATTATAGAATAATAATGCAGACAAAGTATAATACAATATTTCAGTAGAAAACATAATACAATAGCAATTAACTAAATTTACAATGACTTATTTGAGAAAATTAAAATACATAAACAATAATATAAAATTCAGTAAAAAAAAAAAAAGTGTGTTATAAAGTAATAGTACCTGTAGCAATAAAAATAAGACAATACAACACAGTTAGTGAGAAAGGTTATTTGTGTCCAGGAACGGTGGTGCAATGAAAGTATGCACTGATGAGCCTTGTGAGGGCCTCATAGGTGTCTTTATTGTCCAGGATACCGTGGGATTCATTGGGCCAGCGGTATCCATGCACCTCCATGGAGGACCACAGGAAGTGCCTTTCATGATCCAACATAGGACAGTTGAAGATATAATGATCCGAGCTGTCATCCACACCACAAAGAGGACAATCAGAGTTTGCAGCTCCAATAAATCTGGCCAGGTAAGACTGGAACCTGCCATGATTTGTTAAAAATTGAGACATACGATGACATGGTTTGTACCAGTTGTACATGTGCCGGGCTGTGAACGGCTCACGTATTTGTAAAATCTAAGTGACTCATACAACATGGAATTCATATAAAACGGAATTATCAACAATGTTATAAGGGGGTCGACTGTATTGTAAAACGTGTTATTGATATGGGGAGAAAATAGAGAAATCATAAGCATTAGTATTATTGTGTGATGTATTTGATGATAAATAAGATGATAACTTTTGTTTTTATAAGTAACAAGTAAAAGAACTTTAATCATTTAAATAGTTGGATTTAATTGTTCCATTATTGATAAAATATATGTTATATTAACACTAATTAACAAATGGTAAATTGCTTGAATTATATTTTGGATCTTTTCAATTCAAAAACGTTTTCAACATGAAACCTTACAGGATTTGGTTGGTGAACTAATGTTTTGTGATCTATTATCTAATCTACTTAGCCATTTTAATAAGGTGATTTAGGGGTAATTATTTAACAAAAATACACAAATCAAATTTCAAAAAATAAATTCAAACTTTCCTTAACAAAAAAAGTTTGATAATTTTATTAATTTTGGAATTGCGATCTATTATATCTATAGTTTTAGTTTTTATTTTATTGATAAACAAGTTGAATGTGTTTTTCTATATGTATAAAGGGTTCTCTGAATTGTAATCTATAACTTTTTTAACATTGCATTGTTTAACAAATCTATTAATTTTGATTCTATTGTTTAGTCTAGTGATTAAAATGTGTAGGAATGGTAATTGCTGGTTTTTTTTCATGTTCTAATTCAAATTTTATGTTTAGGTCTAGGTTTTGATGTATTTCAGAAATTGATTGATTTCAATTCGAATGCTGTTGTAAATGAGTAGGCAATCATCCATGTAACAGTAAAAGCCTAAAATTTCTGGGTTGTTTACAATATTTTTGTCAATTTTTTTTGTGCTGATTTCAGCTAGTTTTGGTCATATGCAGCTACCCCATGGGTAGCTGCAAATTCGGTTTGTTTATAGTAATTACCTTCTGACTAAAAAAAAATTATAAACATGATTATTTCAATTAACCATACAATTTGATACTAATTAACAAATTAATAACTGTGGAAAGATTTTTATTGCTTCATAACAGTATCTTGATAATGTTACATTGAAACTTGGTTTATAGCTGAAATAAGCTGAATTCAAATTTGATTTTAAATGGATGTTCTTAAAATAGTAAATATTACTGGATTATTTGTAAATTTATCTCAATAGAATATTTTTCAATTAATTTCACATTAAATAACATTACTGTTTAAACTTCAATTAAAATCATATCATGCCAAGTGTTGTACCAATGTATTATCTACATTGGAACAATCTTTTTACCCTTTACATGAAAATGCAGGAACACAAAAAAAAGACATTAAGAAAAATAATCAAACACTAAATTGTCAGAATTTTACTATATCAAATAGCAGATTAGGAGGCTATGAACTTGGGAAGGGCAAATAGGTATCTCTTCTTATTTTCATTGGAAATATTAGCCGTTCTTTTACAAAAGCCAGTAAATATACACGTTTATAAGCTATATCATACTCTACAAATGCTAGCCAATATCACTAGTCCAATATGTAAAAATTATATTTATTAGACAGTTTGTAAAAAGCTGTTATTAGTTAATCACATACTCTGAACCAATTATGGTGTATAGATAATGAAAACAAATGTTTTTGAATTCCTTCTGATGTAAAGTACTAAGTTATTTTTATGCCTTTTACAATGATTAGCGACACGACTTTGTGCTGGAAATAGCTGTTACCTAACAGGTACTTTACGCAGATTCACATTAATGTGCCAGGCATGGACTTTTAAGCGTGCACCAAAAGAAATAATGACAAAGTTAGTCAAAACCAATCCAATATTTAATAATTCTAATAATGATTCAAAAATTAAATTTGTTGTTTGATAGTAACAATCAAACAACAAATTTATTCAAAGAAAATCAATAAGAATAAACCCTACAAAAAAACTCAAATCAATCTATTTGCTAACTTAAATCTATTCCCCTTTGAAACTCGACAAAAAATTCAAAGACTTAACTTATGTACAACAATTCTTATGAACTAAGGTCCTAATCATCACCTCAATATACTAGGAACCTTTTTCCTCAACTCTCAAGACTTTCTAATCTTCGATCCACAAATCGAATAACTTCAAATCTCCTTGGAACCACTTTATCGCTATCAGACACCTCTTCTTGTTCGCTGCTATATAGCTTACCACGCTCGTTGCTAACAGAAGCTCACCTCGGTCATCTTCACTTGAGGTTCGGACTTTATACTATGAGGTGATGTCACAATTCTGAGTGAGATCACTCCCCTCATTTACATACTTATTGCTAACAGTAAATTTTTCCTTTCTGCCTGGCAGCCTATTTCCCAACAATACTCGCTAACCTTTTACATTATTCTTCTTTACAATTTTTCAGGATGTTTTATTCTTTAAGGTTTATCAAGTTCCTAAGTTGTACTTTTTTACTAAGTTGTGGAGTCTCCCCCTCTTTCTCGGTGCGGACTTACTTTTTCTGCTTGGGAGTGCAAGTGTGCGTGAGTTTTTTCTACAGTGCATTTTTTTTTTGTCGGTGAGTTGACTCTTTTTCTTCTATTTTTAAGTTTCTAAGGTGAGTGGTGAGGAAACCTTCGTCCTAACAAAACATAAGCCCCAAACAAAATAGAATAAAAAGCAAAATAAAAAATAACTAAAAATAACGCTTGGACTTGGTTCCTTACACCCCTTCCCCTTTAGATTAAAGAGAAATTTATTTCTCTTTTCATTTAAAGCCAAAAATCTCCAACTCTATCTCTTCTAAAGGAGTGCGCCTTCTATACAATTGCTGCCAGGTTTACAAATTACTACATCCCTTACAATGACTGTGACATAAGCGGGAGTGACTTGTTGCTTAATAAATTTATTCTAACTTTTACTTAGTTATACAATTCGGGGAAAAGACATACATCACATGCGTGTTCTAAGGTTTGTTGCTTTTTCATGCTCTTGTATGGCGTGAACAAGGCTGAATCGTTAACCCAATACTTTTTTGTTCTATTTATTTTCTTTCTTCATGCTATGGACTGACTGTCAGGTTAGAGTTTTTAGCATTGTTAGTTAGTTTTTATTTTAGTGCTTGGTCACTCCAGTCCATCATCATGAGAAAAAACTAGTAGTAGTAAAATCGGTTTTTTTTTTCTCTCTCCCCCATTTAGCCAAAATTCCTTTCTCTCTAGGGTTCCTTGGATTACAATTAGTTTGGTCTAAGACCATCTGCAAAGAAAATTATATTCACCTACAGCATCCTTCTTTATCTTTGAGACCTCGGCTTCCTGTTGAGACCTGTGAGTTGTCGGTAATCCACTTGTTGTATTGGTCGCAATCATCATTGGATGACTCCAGATGGTCTTGCTCTGAGTGGCAAGGGTGTTGCCTGATCCAGTGACGATCCCGTAATGGAGCATGATCATCTATCGTTGCCCCTGTCGGTTTGTAGTAGAGGTGTTGGTATAGTTTTCTTTGGGAACAGTTTATATCACTTGAGATTTGTGATGTGTTGATGTCCATGGCTGGCTCCAGTGTGGGGATCTTTTATCTCGTAGGCTACTGAATGAGATAATCTTAGCGATCTCGTAAGGTCCTGACCACTTAGGTGCCAATTTAGTGCTGAAGTGCCGGCTAGAAGAAATCGGGTGAGTTTTTAAGACTACTAATAAACCCACCTTGAATGTATCTGGCTGCCTTCTCAAATTGTAAGCTCTTCTCTGTTTTTGTTGTGCAGTTTGCACGTTGTCTCAGGCTTGTTTTTGTAGCTGTTGCAATTCTGCCCATTTTCTCTAATGGTCATAGGGCAACTTGGATAAGACGTTAGGCGGTCCTATGGGAGTGCAATCTCTCTCCCGAGATGTAGTTGAGCTGGCGTATACTTTGTAGAACCCTGTTCTGTAGTTCGTAGTGCCAGCACTAACTCTGATATATGGGTGTCCCATTCTTTGTGGTTCCGTTCAATGTATGCCGCAATTATCCTACCTACGGTGCGGTTTACTCTTTCCATAAAATTTGACTGAGGATGATATGGTGTCGTCAGAATATGCTTAATTCCAGTGCGGTCACAAATTTCCGCTAGGAGGTGAGAAATGAATTGTGGCCCATTATCAGATATTAACTTTTTAGGCATGCCATACCTGCAAAAGTATTCATTATACATACAATTTACAATGTTTTCTGTGGTAATCTTCCACAGTGGAAAAATTTTGACCTATTTACTGAAGTAATCAACCATAATGAGAAGATACTGATTACCTTTGTTGGACCTAGGATAGGGTCCCATAATATCTACTCCTACCTTCTCCCCTGGTTCCGTTACCTCGGGGACTTGCATTAGTCCGGCCGTTTTCTTCTGGTTCTTTACACTGAGATCGTCATCAGGTTTTTTAATGATTCCTTGATGGTTATTCATTTTGGAATAAACACCATAATTGGTTCAGAGTATATGATTAGCTATATCCTGGTGTGGTGAGTGGTTGTTTGCTGTTATTAGTATTTTTATTAAAAATTATATAAAATAAATCTTTTAATTTTGATTAGTTTATTGTAAAATATGGTTTTGTTGGTTACTATGATTACCACTAACATTATCTGATTGGTCATAATGGCTACCTCTAACATTCCCTATCAATGCTGAAAGAAGTTCAGTTAAGTCGGATGCTTGCATTTACTAATATATTTAATTTAACTTAATGTTGCTTTTGTTGATTTTTAGTTTCATTTTGAACTCTCAGAAAATTATGCAAATGATTGATATGGTGGAACCCATTGAAGTTGGACTAATTGGGGATGATGGTTGTCTGAGTTTGCAAAAATGCGAGTTAGTGGGGTCTTTTTTTTTTTTGTCATTGGGAATGAATATAATATGTAATTAAAAATCAGTCTATTTACATAAGTTTTATTATGACAAGTATATATAGTATATTGTGCTTTCAGAATATGCTGCATACAAAATGGCATAGTATTGGAACAATTTACTGTATTGATGATGGCTCACTCAGAGTTTGTCAATATGTTATTTTGTCTTCTTCAATGTCCTGTGTAATTCATATCAGATGATGTGAGCATGATAATGTGCCACAACTTGTGCTTGATTGAGGAGACCACAGATAAAAGAAGTTAATAATTTCATTTAATTTTTTCAAAATTCTTTGAGTTAAGCAAAGTTCAACTTAGCAAAGGTCTACTGTAATTTGATAAAAATTATTTAAAATTTTTCTTTTTATTTACAGGGGACTTGGAATTGAAAGATTGTTGTTAAGTCTAATAAAAGTTTACAATGATCCGGGTAATCTGATTTTAATTATTGGAACTTCACCACAAGAAGAGGCAAGTATATTTAATTTTATACAGATTTAAGTATTATCTGTTTATGAGATTCCAATGCCAGTTGAAGAAGGAAAAGTAGTAAAAACAAAAGAACACTTTATTAAAAACTGAAAAGAAATGAAAAAAAAATTTAATAGGGTCTAAACTAATACAAGAATAGCCTATAAGTATCAATACTTCCAAATTACATACCAGTATTGCTTTTATCTTGTTTCTTTCTAATGTTTTCTTTGTAATAGAAATATACACATAAATGAAGTAACAGTTTCTATGAGTACTGAAATGCAAAGTAGTGTATAAGAATGTTTTGCATTTTAAAAGCAATAAAGTAATACCTCGACTTACGCTACCCTGACTTACGCGAACCCGGAGTTACGCGATTTTCAAATCTTGTCAATTCGTCTTTTGTTTGAGTGCCACGCAACTCTTGATTACTCACTTCTCCCACTATTGTTCAGCTTACATGTTCGGACATGTCGCACGGAATCGACGCATAGCTACAATTTATTTTGTGTTATTTATTTCTGTGTTGTTATATCTAAGGAGACTTGAGAGACTCTATGTGGTGATTTCTTGTAACCGTGAATGAATCAAAAGACGAGATAAGATTAACGAGAACATTTATTAGCTTACGTACATTAGACTTGGATTTTACACAAATTGCAAAATTATACCCCGACTTACGCAGTTATTGCTTGGTCCCACCTATCGCATAAGTTCGGGGTATTACTGTATTTTCTTTTTCAGTTAAGATAGAAAGATGAATACTATGTTATTGGACTTTGCAACTCTTGGTTTTTTAATTATTTTAGGAAAATTAAATGAATGATATACCATCTCATCTTAAAAATATTTATAATTTTATAAAATTTAAAAATATATTCTAAAATATTTTTGTTATTTTATATTGATGCATAAAGTGACCATACTTTTTTAAAATACAAAATTATCTAAATGTAAATCAGATTGCACAAGTCATTGAAAAATGTATCACATAAACCACTTTAAAATTGTTGCTGTTGAAATTACAGATATTCAATGCAAGAAAATTAAAATGACAACTATATGTACTAATAATTTATCACATGCAGCAAGAAAATCTGCTTAATGTAATCACTTTGGGGTTTGTCTAAGCTTATGATGATAACATTACTGTAAACAGAGATTACCCTAGCTTTTTTATAGCAATATCCAATATATTCACCAAACAAATTTATTATTCACCAGGTTACTTTTTTGCTTACTGTGACTTTATGTACTAACCAGAAATGAAAGGATGACTGACAATATAAAACAAAAATGTAGTTTTTATGACTGGTTTTCTCAAGCAACTTTATTTTTGTTTATTATAACAATAAAATTTATCAGGCCAAGATGATTCAAATTCTGTAAAAGTCTTTTTACTTTTTTGTGGTTATTCACCACCCCAATTGCCAGATGAATGAACTTTTTGCAAATTTTTTGACAAGCAATGTGACCCTTGAGGAAGTGGGATAAATAAATACAATTGCAGTTAATGGAAATTCTGATTTTATTGACTGTGACATTAAAAGAACATGTTAAAACAAGTAAAAGATATATAATTTGAAGTTTTATTAATTATAATTATTATTAATGTGAGACTAATCGGGGGTAGGATGTTTACGAGTTCTTGACTTTCCTACCACTTAGTCGACTCGAGACCTTGAGGTCCAGTCCTCGACGAGATCGCTCGTGATAATTCCATCAAATTGACCGCATATCTATCCGCGAAAAATTGATAGATTGGTGTCAGATCCTGACGGGTGAAAGAATCTAACGATCCTTCCCCCTAACCCTTTTTTCTTCCATCCTTTAGACAAGCAAGACTGGACCTCAAGGTCTCGAGTCGACTAAGTGGTAGGAAAGTCAAGAACTCATAAACATCCTACCCCCGATTAGTCTCACATTAATAATAATTATAATTAATAAAACTTCAAATTATATATCTTTTACTTGTTTTAACATGTTCTTTTAATGTCACAGTCAATAAAATCAGAATTTCCATTAACTGCAATTGTATTTATTTATCCCACTTCCTCAAGGGTCACATTGCTTGTCAAAAAATTTGCAAAAAGTTCATTCATCTGGCAATTGGGGTGGTGAATAACCACAAAAAAGTAAAAAGACTTTTACAGAATTTGAATCATCTTGGCCTGATAAATTTTATTGTTATGATAAACAAAAATAAAGTTGCTTGAGAAAACCAGTCATAAAAACTACATTTTTGTTTTATATTGTCAGTCATCCTTTCATTTCTGGTTAGTACATAAAGTCACAGTAAGCAAAAAAGTAACCTGGTGAATAATAAATTTGTTTGGTGAATATATTGGATATTGCTATAAAAAAGCTAGGGTAATCTCTGTTTACAGTAATGTTATCATCATAAGCTTAGACAAACCCCAAAGTGATTACATTAAGCAGATTTTCTTGCTGCATGTGATAAATTATTAGTACATATAGTTGTCATTTTAATTTTCTTGCATTGAATATCTGTAATTTCAACAGCAACAATTTTAAAGTGGTTTATGTGATACATTTTTCAATGACTTGTGCAATCTGATTTACATTTAGATAATTTTGTATTTTAAAAAAGTATGGTCACTTTATGCATCAATATAAAATAACAAAAATATTTTAGAATATATTTTTAAATTTTATAAAATTATAAATATTTTTAAGATGAGATGGTATATCATTCATTTAATTTTCCTAAAATAATTAAAAAACCAAGAGTTGCAAAGTCCAATAACATAGTATTCATCTTTCTATCTTAACTGAAAAAGAAAATACAGTAATACCCCGAACTTATGCGATAGGTGGGACCAAGCAATAACTGCGTAAGTCGGGGTATAATTTTGCAATTTGTGTAAAATCCAAGTCTAATGTACGTAAGCTAATAAATGTTCTCGTTAATCTTATCTCGTCTTTTGATTCATTCACGGTTACAAGAAATCACCACATAGAGTCTCTCAAGTCTCCTTAGATATAACAACACAGAAATAAATAACACAAAATAAATTGTAGCTATGCGTCGATTCCGTGCGACATGTCCGAACATGTAAGCTGAACAATAGTGGGAGAAGTGAGTAATCAAGAGTTGCGTGGCACTCAAACAAAAGACGAATTGACAAGATTTGAAAATCGCGTAACTCCGGGTTCGCGTAAGTCAGGGTAGCGTAAGTCGAGGTATTACTTTATTGCTTTTAAAATGCAAAACATTCTTATACACTACTTTGCATTTCAGTACTCATAGAAACTGTTACTTCATTTATGTGTATATTTCTATTACAAAGAAAACATTAGAAAGAAACAAGATAAAAGCAATACTGGTATGTAATTTGGAAGTATTGATACTTATAGGCTATTCTTGTATTAGTTTAGACCCTATTAAATTTTTTTTTCATTTCTTTTCAGTTTTTAATAAAGTGTTCTTTTGTTTTTACTACTTTTCCTTCTTCAACTGGCATTGGAATCTCATAAACAGATAATACTTAAATCTGTATAAAATTAAATATACTTGCCTCTTCTTGTGGTGAAGTTCCAATAATTAAAATCAGATTACCCGGATCATTGTAAACTTTTATTAGACTTAACAACAATCTTTCAATTCCAAGTCCCCTGTAAATAAAAAGAAAAATTTTAAATAATTTTTATCAAATTACAGTAGACCTTTGCTAAGTTGAACTTTGCTTAACTCAAAGAATTTTGAAAAAATTAAATGAAATTATTAACTTCTTTTATCTGTGGTCTCCTCAATCAAGCACAAGTTGTGGCACATTATCATGCTCACATCATCTGATATGAATTACACAGGACATTGAAGAAGACAAAATAACATATTGACAAACTCTGAGTGAGCCATCATCAATACAGTAAATTGTTCCAATACTATGCCATTTTGTATGCAGCATATTCTGAAAGCACAATATACTATATATACTTGTCATAATAAAACTTATGTAAATAGACTGATTTTTAATTACATATTATATTCATTCCCAATGACAAAAAAAAAAGACCCCACTAACTCGCATTTTTGCAAACTCAGACAACCATCATCCCCAATTAGTCCAACTTCAATGGGTTCCACCATATCAATCATTTGCATAATTTTCTGAGAGTTCAAAATGAAACTAAAAATCAACAAAAGCAACATTAAGTTAAATTAAATATATTAGTAAATGCAAGCATCCGACTTAACTGAACTTCTTTCAGCATTGATAGGGAATGTTAGAGGTAGCCATTATGACCAATCAGATAATGTTAGTGGTAATCATAGTAACCAACAAAACCATATTTTACAATAAACTAATCAAAATTAAAAGATTTATTTTATATAATTTTTAATAAAAATACTAATAACAGCAAACAACCACTCACCACACCAGGATATAGCTAATCATATACTCTGAACCAATTATGGTGTTTATTCCAAAATGAATAACCATCAAGGAATCATTAAAAAACCTGATGACGATCTCAGTGTAAAGAACCAGAAGAAAACGGCCGGACTAATGCAAGTCCCCGAGGTAACGGAACCAGGGGAGAAGGTAGGAGTAGATATTATGGGACCCTATCCTAGGTCCAACAAAGGTAATCAGTATCTTCTCATTATGGTTGATTACTTCAGTAAATAGGTCAAAATTTTTCCACTGTGGAAGATTACCACAGAAAACATTGTAAATTGTATGTATAATGAATACTTTTGCAGGTATGGCATGCCTAAAAAGTTAATATCTGATAATGGGCCACAATTCATTTCTCACTTCCTAGCGGAAATTTGTGACCGCACTGGAATTAAGCATATTCTGACGACACCATATCATCCTCAGTCAAATTTTATGGAAAGAGTAAACCGCACCGTAGGTAGGATAATTGCGGCATACATTGAACGGAACCACAAAGAATGGGACACCCATATATCAGAGTTAGTGCTGGCACTACGAACTACAGAACAGGGTTCTACAAAGTATACGCCAGCTCAACTACATCTCGGGAGAGAGATTGCACTCCCATAGGACCGCCTAACGTCTTATCCAAGTTGCCCTATGACCATTAGAGAAAATGGGCAGAATTGCAACAGCTACAAAAACAAGCCTGAGACAACATACAAACTGCACAACAAAAACAGAGAAGAGCTTACAATTTGAGAAGGCAGCCAGATACATTCAAGATGGGTTTATTAGTAGTCTTAAAAACTCACCCGATTTCTTCTAGCCGGCACTTCAGCACTAAATTGGCACCTAAGTGGTCAGGACCTTATGAGATCGCTAAGATTATCTCATTCAGTAGCCTACGAGATAAAAGATCCCCACACTGGAGCCAGCCATGGACATCAACACATCACAAATCTCAAGTGATATAAACTGTTCCCAAAGAAAACTATACCAACACCTCTACTACAAACCGACAGGGGCAACGATAGATGATCATGCTCCATTACGGGATCGTCACTGGATCAGGCAACACCCTTGCCACTCAGAGCAAGACCATCTGGAGTCATCCAATGATGATTGCGACCAATACAACAAGTGGATTACCGACAACTCACAGGTCTCAACAGGAAGCCGAGGTCTCAAAGATAAAGAAGGATGCTGTAGGTGAATATAATTTTCTTTGCAGATGGTCTTAGACCAAACTAATTGTAATCCAAGGAACCCTAGAGAGAAAGGAATTTTGGCTAAATGGGGGAGAGAGAAAAAAAAAACCGATTTTACTACTACTAGTTTTTTCTCATGATGATGGACTGGAGTGACCAAGCACTAAAATAAAAACTAACTAACAATGCTAAAAACTCTAACCTGACAGTCAGTCCATAGCATGAAGAAAGAAAATAAATAGAACAAAAAAGTATTGGGTTAA